TCTGTGTATTCATCCCCCAGAAAAGGAAATATATTATTTTGCAGCAAAGGAAGAGGGCAAAATTCCCTGTCAAAAGTCCCTCTTTGCCTGGAAATCATGCCAGCTTACTTTTTAATATTCTAATTTAAGAAGAGAGAAAGAAAATTATTCTTTAGAATCTTGAATGGTGTAGGAGCATTGTGTAATAAATACACAGTCATCTCTATGTGAAGGAATATAGTCTGTATGCTAGCTGAGTCCTGGTTTCTCTTCCCCATCCTTTGGAGTTCTTCCCTGGAAGCCTGAATTTCCTGACAGTGCCCAGCACATAGTAGGCCCTGAACTAATAATTGTGGAACTATACTGAAGTATGTCCTTCAAGCAGTATCACAGGTTCTCTTCTACACTGCCAGCCCCACTGAATCTGCTCCTGGTCCCTGATGTCGTTTCCTCCACTAATATCTTGCCCTCTGCCAGAAAGCTCACCTCGTCTGGTACTATATTATGCCTTGCATTCTTCAAAGAACACTTCTCCCTCAGATATATGTGTGGAATGTTATATTGATCTGTCTGCTCTTACATGTCATAGGCCTAATAATCTGAGTCATAGGAGTGGGAACATAGTCCTGGAATAAACCTAACTGAAGAATCCCTATAGACAAAACTATAACCAAAGTGCTGTATGCCCATTAAATCTCGCTGCAAGTAGTCAAAGCCAGTTTTGAGATAATGCCCTGTGTTTGAAAACATTGATTCATTCATTCACTCTTGGCCACATTCCTTTTAAAAATATCAGACATGGAGGTTATATATAAACCTGAGAAGTTGGTATCTAGAGATCTGTACTGTATTTTCAGCCCGTCCAACTATAATTTTAGGCATAATAAGGATCTTGCCCACAAATTCCTTCACTTCAAATGAAATAAACATAGACTAATAGTGATAAATTTGGTCATTGCCATCCCAGTGCTGCAAACAGCTGTTGCTCCCAAGGTTTGAGTTGGATAGAGAAAGACATTCATCCATTTGTGCAAGCTATCCACCATTATGGCTTTTCTGACATTTTCTTCTTTGAATTCTTGGTAGAGGTCTTTTGGTGCTTCCCTCTAGAAATGCAGGGACTCAGAACAGTTTGCTTTGGCTTTGAGCAATACAAGTTATAACGCCCTGCAACTGATAAAGTGGAGAAACACCCACCTTGGCCATTGTGAAGGATTTCTCCATCAATTTGTGTCGTCGTTTTTTGTAGAATGTGGTGTTCTCTCGTAATAAGGAAAGAGTACTAACTGCCATTCAGGATTTTGTGGTTGAGAATAGCTCTGACTCTATAAGTTGAGGCATTCTTGGTAAGAAATAGTTTATGCTCCCAATAATCCATGAATATGGTTGTAAAAGTCAATATTTATTTGACATTCCAGGAAGTACTGTCAAGCTGAGAAAAACTTCTTGAAAAAAACTCATTTCTTAGACAATAGACTCAACAGGTCATATATGGGATAATGTAGGAGAAAGATTCTCCTCAGGAAGGCTTGGAGCTCTTATGCTATTTCTAGACCAAATACACCATGAATTGCAATACACCAGAGAGGATCTCTGTTAAAATATTAGTAGATCAGCCTGAGAGGTGATCCTGAATACTTTACTTGCACATTTCTTGTTTAACTTTGATATCCAACATCTTGAATAACATAAGAGCTTCTAAGAGTTAGTGCAGCTGCATCATTTTACTTGGATTACCGAAACAGCTTTCTGTTTGTCTATGATTTCCATTCTCTCTCTTTACAATGTCAGTTTTCATTTTGAAAGCAAACAACACTCTTCTTAAAATCATGCAATAGTTTCTATTAGAGCCTTTTGGGGATGTCTTCACATCCTGACCTTCTTGCTCTAAAGAACACCACTCCACACAACTAGGCCACAGCAGCCATACTTGGACATCTGACACAACCTTAACCCATTTGGAGGTGAGATGGAGAAATACTAGTTCTAGGTTGGTTGCTGCAACTGAAGCAATGTACAATTAGAATATAGCAAGGCAGAGGTGAGACTAGATTGGTAGATAGCTATTTCTTGGTCCAGGCTCCTTTTGAGGCTCAGCTGTGTTCCTGCTCTTAATAGATTCTAGGTGATTTTCCTATATCTATATGATAAATCTTCTATACCGCCCTCATTTTATTTTTTCTTGAGCTAATTTAAGTGGGATTTTGTTATATCCAAAATAAAAAAAAGAGCTTTGAGTAAGACAGCCTTTTGGATGAAATTCAAACGCTTTTGCATGGTCTGCAATGTTCTTTTCTTTCATTTTATTAAATTTATTGGAGCGACATCAATTAATAAGATTATGTAAGTTTCAAGTGTACAGTTCTGGAATGCATCATCTGCATATTGCGTTGTGTGCTCACCACCCAGTCGTTTCCTTTCCTTACCATACATTTGACCCCCTTTACCCTCTTCAGCCTCCTCCCATCCTCCTTCCCTCTGGTAACCACCATACTGTCATCTCTGTCTATGGATTTTGTTTGTTTGTTCATTTGTTGCTTTCAGTTTTATACCCCACGTATGAGTAAAATCATATTCTTGTCCTTTTCCGTCTGACTGCGTGATTCTCTCAAGATCCATTTATGTTGTTGCAAGGGCAATATTTCATCTTTTCTTATGGCTCAGTAGTATTCCATTTTATATACGTACCACATCTTTATCCAATCATCCATTGAAGGACCCTTCTGTTGTTTCCATGTCTTTACCACCGTGAATAATGCTACACTAAACTAGGGGTATGTGTATCTTTATAAATAAATGGTTTCACATTTTTCAGGTAGATAAATGTTCTTTATAATCTGGATCCTACCTTCACCTTAATTTTACCCCTGACCTCTCTTAACCTGCACCAAAAGTAATTCAGCTCTGCTGAATTGCCTTCCCACACTTGGGTCCTTTAATTCTCAGCTCCTCCAGAAAAGAGACCCCAATACCTTCTCAGCCTGTGAGGTACACTTTTCCTCTGGGCTTGTTATACTGGTACTGAGCCTAGTGGTTTACTCGTCTTTCCCCTACTAGACTTTATGGATGCTAACATTAGGTCTTATTCATATTTGTTACCTCCATGTTTGTGCTAAGCCCGTAAAACAAATAGGAAATGTAATGAATGAATATATTCATAATAAAACGACATAGTGTCAATGTAAAAACTAAACTATAGAAACTAAACCTTATACTATAGCAAAATAGTTAATAGTGTAGGATTTGGATGGAGTCAGACTACTGCATAGGTGAAACCTGCCTACATGATAGGGTTATGAGAATTAGAGGAGATAATCTATGTAAACCATTTAGAATATTGGCCTGGGACATTGAACACTTAAGAACTTAATAATCAGTAGATACACTTACTCATTGATCTTATATTTAGGAACTCAGTGAAACATGGCTAAGACTCCTACGACTGTAGGAATTAGTGACTCCATGAAGCATTGGAAAATTCTAAATGCAACCATTTTCCAAGGTGAAGGAGTTTAACTGGGATTACTCTTTTTATGAGAGCTGTTTGCTGGCACATCATAGACAGTGAGCTCTGGTTACTGTTAGGGAAAAGCTGTTTTGCAAGCCTTCTTTTACATAAAAACTATAAGGACTGACTGCTGGTCCAGGATGTGGTTGTTGCTTAAGAGTCTGCCTTTAAGAAGTCAATATTTCCTTATCAACCCATAGCTCAGTAGGGTCAGCCCCTCAAGGTGATCTGCCCTCCTGCCCATACTACAAATGAGTAAGCAAAGACCTGATCACAGACACCACAGACCACACAGCCTCATGGAGGGGAGACAGAGTGAATTGGAAGGTAATACCCTAAGGTTCTGTTTCTTAGAAGCCTGATTGTACTTCATGGACTGGATTCTCTGAGACTGCCCTATATTCTTACAATGATTTTACTTTTCTTAAGCCAGTTTGAATGAATACGTTTCAGTTTTGATTGTCAAGCAAAAAAATTGGCACCAAGATTGGGGGAGCCAAATAATGCTATGGAGTTGGGGTGGAGAGGGGTGGTACTGAGGATCTCAGCATGTGGGATTGGTAGTCTGGGGAATGATGTGAAAAAGCAGCTAGCTAAGACTCTACTGGTAATCCTAGAGTACATGCCTCCTGCTGTATCGAGGTGGCTAAATACCATATCAGAATGTGACTTCTTGGGGTTTTGAGTAAAGCACAATAGTAGAGACAGTCTCAGGTTTATGGGGCAGAGCTGGAAGCAGACATAGCAGGAAGAGATTTTCTTCCCTCCTTAACACCCTCTTTCCAACTCCTTCCAATCCCTATCATAAAGATTTTGGTAAAACTATGCATCGGAGATATATTGTGAGACATGGCCAATGTTAACAAGATGTTAGTTTTATAGATTCCTGTCTCATGAGTAGGAATTAAAGCCTCTTCCTACATGGCTCTGTGAGAAACTTCCCCTGCATGGTAGAAAAAATAGAGGGGATCATGGCAGGGAAAAGGAAGAACAGAAAGAGAAGAGCCTCCCAGATGTCCAAGGGAAGCATGGTGATGCTGTATGAACTGGATACCGGAGAGTGACTCAGGAAAAAGCATAGAGGTATTTGGCACCATCCGGAGGACTGTGTGTATTTGGGAACCAGGTAAATGATCTGCATACACACATGACAAATAATTTACTAACTTTTGTAATATACGTACTATGCATCTAGTGCTTTATACATATTAACAACACAAGGCGTGTTGCCTTCTTCCTTTAGGAGATGAAGAAATCGAGACTAAGGTCTAAACCTTACATACCTTGTTAATGTTAATATGATGATGACCTATTTACAACTAGTAAGAAGTAGAGCTAGGATTGGAACAGTGGCCATCTGAATCTACAATTCAGACTTTTTCTACCAACCATGCTGTCTAGTTTATGCTAAACGATACAGATTCAAAATACAAATATAAAAGGATATGGGATTCAAGTGAATAGCGTAATGTTCTACTTTTGATATCAATGCAAACATACAAGAACAAACAGCTTATGAAATCATTCTCAAGTGTTTAATTAAAATCCATATAGCAATTTACATGTATAATGTTTAAACTCTTTCAGTGACTCTTATATTTTAAAATCCTTTTCCACAACATTTTGAGGCTAACTTCATGCTAGAAATCTACAAATGAACAACTTAACAACACAAAAATACATTTGAATTCCATTCCAATGCAAGTTTTAAACACTTTTATTTCAGATAATGTAAAGATATTTAAAAACCAAAAACTACAAAATGAGCACAAAAGTCTTCCCTTTTGAAATTTTAATAAAATACTGTTCTGTATAAGATCTAATGAAAAATTCTAGTTACTTATAAAATAGTTATGTGAGAAAAGAAATGAATTAAGATATATACGTATGAATTTTATCTAATTACATTGTTTAAATGAACATGTTGAACACTTTGATGATATTGCACACTATCTATTACTTATATATGAAAATATATGAAAATACTCAAAGAAGCAAATGGGCAGAACAAAATTTAGGAGACTTGAGGCAAAGAGGGAGGGAGGGAGAGAGAGAGAGAGAGAGAGAGAGACAGCGCGCGAGAGAGAAAAGCCCCAAACAAACAAAAAGCCCCTTCACTGTGAGGGGAAGAAAGGAATAAAAGAACTTAAAGCACACTATGGACCGAATTCTTACTCCTATTATTTCATTAGATATGGTACAAGAATTTGGCTTCAAATTACTAAAATATCTACAGAAACTTAATTATTTGGCCTGGATAATTTAATAGTACACCAATAGCTAAAATAATCAATAGCAATGGGTGTACTGTTGGAAAAATTAATTTTTACAGGTTTAACTATGTAAAACTTTATCTATTGGAAACCAGGGTCTCCATTACAAATTGCACTTGAGATGGCTGAATGCATTGATTGAGCAAGGCATTACTGTTGATCCACTGACAATATACATACCTAAACACAAAAGCAACTGTGGATTGCTGATATTCTTAACTCCTAAAACTATCTTATACATTTTTTCTCTCTTTCTCTAAAAGAAGGATCTGTGATATCTGAGCTATTAACTCAGTGTATAACAGTGAAACATCCACCCGCCTGTTGGCTTGGCCCTGTTGGCTGTCTGTTTCAACACTGTGAGGTCTGACAAAATATGAACCAGATCAGTCTGAAAAATATTCATTTCTAGAATTTTAAGCTTTATTCTGAGTAGGAAAGGAAGCTCCTGCAAAAAAGACTGTTTCACTGACACAGCTTACAAAATGTACATAAGGAACACTGACTATTTGAGTAATATCACTATATCTGGAAAAATGCTAAGAGAATTTCTGACTCATTTTTTTAAAGGTAGAGAATGCCTGACACAATCATTTCTCTTATATAAATTAATTCTCCTCCAGAGTAAAAAACACAGTTTGGAAGCAAGATGGTACTATGAAATAGCAAGCTCAAAAAGCTAGAATATAATACAAAGTTGCTTTAAAAAGTTGCTCTGAACAATGAGATAAAGTATGTTAGAACAAACTTCAATGGAAGGCTACACAGTTCTATTTTAAGGTAAAAATTAATCATTATGAAAATGTATGATTTATTAATACAAATAGAACAGATGATTTAAAGATGAGTGAATAAAACAGACCCTGAATCTTATCTATTTCCTTGAGCTAGATATATTACAGTCTAAAACGCAGTGATTGGATGTGTCTTATTTCTTTCTTCCAACCACCTTCTTTCTACTTCCTCCCGTTAAAAACAAGACTTTAGATTAGTTTATAAATATCAGTCTAAAACCAAAGCAAACACCTGGTCAAAGAAAAGAAAATAAACAACAAAAAACCTGCATCAAGAGTTTTTCATCTCCTCTACCAGTGGGGACAGCGGGGGCTGGGGGGCGGGGAGCTCTCTTTATCTTATTAGTTCTAAAAGAACAACTTATCCTTCTGAAAAACAAGAGTAATCTTAAATTGAAACCAAGGTACACAAATTAATTTTCATGCAACTGAATTTAAAATGTTTAAGACATTGGTCTACATGATGTTTAAACCAATTAATACATTCTACCTGTCAAATTATAAAACTCAGGTAATGACCAGGTAATATAGGAAATTGTGAAAAGAAACAGTGAAGTTGGAAGGCTTATCTTAAAAATTCACTAATGAGCTCAAAAAAAGGAAAAAATTATTGATGAAGGATATTTAAATTTCACTGCTCTAGTTATGTGGAAACATGAAGCAATTTGGGGAATCTACTCCTCTGTGCCCCATATAGTCCACCATTTTCACAGAAAGTCCATAGCAGATTCAACAGCTGAACAGACATATTTCTAAATTGTGCGGAAGTTGAATCTGCCCCTCATGAAATGGAATAATTATAGGTTTCCAAAAATATCACTAAATCCAGTCTCCTCAAGAACATAATGATATGAAAAATGGCCTCTATCTCCATAGGCAGGGCATGAAAACATATCTCCTATTGATCTCAGGCTCACATTTGGAATAGGTCTGTCTGCAAAGGGAAAAGAATATAGATGAATGTCTGACCACTATCTAGTCATTACAGAGCTCTCTTCTATTTAAATTTCTCTTCAACCTTGACCTTCAGAATAATATGTTTAAAGAAAAGAGAAGGAGGAGTGAAAAGAAAACACTTACTGCCTATACATATAGAATTCTCAGCTTGCTTTACTCAAATACTGATGAACTATTCTTATGTGTTCAGTGGCACCATGCTTACTGAAATTTTTCTTGTGGAGTTTTCAGAAGACAGCATTTGTTCCTTCATCAGCAAACTAAAAAGGATGTGGACTGTACACTGTCTAAAGAGCAGTCACAGAAGAGTGATGAGTGAGGCAATTCTTGAATGCTGGAGTTTGTACAGTTATATAGGGTGAAACATATTATACACTTTAAAGCAGTAGGAGATTAACAGAATATTACTGCCACAATTTAACTTTTTTTGTATTGCATTTCCATATAGATACTTCCTTTGAAAACAAATAGAGAGTTTTTGTGAGGCCACAAAGACAAACACGGAGAATTACTTGAGCCTCATTATTCAAGATCCCACTACAGATCAACAAACATTTCCAACAAGGAAATGCTGGAACCAATGAACATCTGAATCTAGGAAATCAATAGAAAATAAAATCACAGAAATTCACAATACTCTAATAAATGACAGATAATGAACATTTATCTCTTATACTAAAGGCACTACTAATATACAAATATCCTATAAACATTTAGAGAAACTCTGAAATCAGCAGTTAAAGGAATCCATTTAGTTCAATGCCAGCATTTTAAAAAACAAATAGGTTTTCAATGAGCTAAATGAAATTAGATATAAGAAGCAGCAGCTCCATATAAAACTTGTGGTTCCTACTTTTAAAAAAGTATGATAACTTACTTCCTTAAAAATATAAGCATATCACAAAAACTAAAGGATAAATATATATATATGCATATATATAAAAACTCAGACCTTGGTACCACTGATAAATTTTCATAAATTCTAAAATAATTTCAACAGCCACAGCTTGAACATTACACACCCACACATGACATGCAAAGACAAAATGCCAGTCACTGAACAGTTCAGGATAAAGCTAAAAATATGGAAATAGAGTGAGAGGCATTTGTCATGTAAATAATGTATATCACAAAGTGATTGTGCTTATAGCACACATTGAAATTTAAAAAAATTAGAATTTCATCAGTCCCAAGAAGCACTACACATGAACCAACAATGGAGCTCTCAGATATGTTTAAGGAAGCAGGTAAAAAGCTATACAAAAGAATAATACAATTTATTTTAATTAACAACATGATTAATGTTTTGTACTTTATTATATCAGAAGATTAATTTGTAATCATTGTACCCTGTAGATTTTGAAACTTAATTTTATTAGAAATTACCAATGCTGGTTCTTGAATAATCTAAAAAAATTGTAGTTACTCAAATCTAGATTGCTATTTATAGTTCTAAGTAGTTAAATGAAATATTCTGATCAGTATTCTAAAGTTGCTTTTGTACAAAATTTAGAACAAAGCAAAACTGGCAGCACCACCACAAGTGTGGTTGTTTTACAGCAGGTCTAAATGACCCTCACAGACAACAGAACATGAGTTAAAAATACTTATAAATAAGAGCCATTCTCCACAATTCTGTTACATAATTAAAGAGAAAAATAAAATCCACATTCAGTAAGTTATATGTGAGGTCCAATTTTCATGCTCCATTTAATTATCCCTCAATGATAGTATAAAAAAATGTTTACTATTATTGTAATATGAGGTCTGATTCATAGCTCAGGGTATTTCTAATGATGAGGCCAGTATTTACAGTGGTACGTTTTAATGCTTAGTCCACTGGTATTATTTTAACATAGATTTAACTTAGTATTTTCTTTTTAACAATTTTACTGAGGTATAATTAACATAAAACAAACTGCACATATTTAAGATGCACAATTTGATATGTAGTCTTTAAACAGCATGAAAAGTGCCTGAAAACTTAAAAATTAAAATATTTCAATGGAAACATTATTTTAAAATAGCACATTCTAATTATTTATGACACAGGTAAAGATTTATAAAAAGGTGAGTGGAAAGGAAAGAAATTAATTTAATTCCAAGTACCAAATTTATTCAGACGGTTTAGAAACGCCAAAATTGACAGCCAGTTTTCTTGATTTTCTTCTTGAAGAAGAGCTTGGTGTTGACTTATGGTGAGACATACTATGGCCTTGGGAGGAAGCTTCAACTTGAAAAGAAGGTGCTGGATGAGTAATCTGAGAGGACTTCAAGGAAACTGATGAACTCTCCTGTGGAATCACTTTGGTGACATCAGAAGACCCTGGCTGGCTAGTCTGAAGTGGACTGGCTTGTGAACTCTGAGCCTCCTTATTCTCGAAGTTCTTTTTGTTTGCAACTCTTTTTTTAGTAACCTTTAAAGAATAAAAACATCATTAGTTAACCAAAAAGACTAGTGTCAAAAAATACCATAAATCATGCTGCTAACATTCGTCAATCACTGCTGACTTGTGGCTTCCACTTAATCTCCAAACCAAAGTTTAGAAATTAAAGGAATTTAGTTATGAATAAAATATTTTAAAATTCTTCATAACCTAAATATAAAGAAAATTTATACCCCTGATTTTAAAACACGTTGTGCGAGAAACTGATATTATTCCTTGCTGCAATTATTATTATTTATTAGAACATAAACCCAGACATCAGGGACCAGGTCAGACTGGTCACCACTGGTCATAATATATAATCTCAGCACCCAGACCAGTACTGGGCTTTTAGTTGGCACTGAATACAGTCTATTCAATAGTGTGAACATTAAAAAATTAATTCTCTTACAAATATGATAATTCCCTTTCCAGGTCTCACCTGTAGAGGTATGAACTGATTGTGCACACCACCTGCCATTCCCCCAGCCATGGGCATGGTCCCGGAATATGAACTATGATGAAAGGGCTTTCCAGGAGCTGGCACTGGTGGTCCCCATGGCATTGAACCAAAGAGATGAGATGATGATGGCATTATATTAGCTGTTAAAAATCATGAAAAATTTGTTTTTTAGTAAAATGGTATCATCAAAACCTTGAAATTTAAGACCTCACTGTGCCACCCTTTTTGGTGTTTTTCACGTTGGCAAAGAGGCATACATTTAACTTATGATTAATCTTGCTTACAACACTCAACCTCAGACACCCTTCCTAGGACTGTATAAGTTAGCTTATCATTATGCTGTCTGGCCTGCAAAGGCCTAACATATACTGACATGAATTTTAGGAATATTTGTAATACTATTTAAAAAAATAATAAAAGGGTCATGAAACTGTCACGTGGGGGAGAAAAGCCAGGGCACAAAGAGAAATCTTAAGGATCTCACCCGCCCCCAATATTAATATGCTTCCATAGTGATCCCAGCCTACAAAAAAAAAAAAAGCTCGTTTTCAAATCGGATCACTTTCATGATATGTAGAATTTTTCTTTTCCCTATTCTAACATTTGTAATTCAAGGATTTTTTAAAATTTACATTTTGTTTCTTATTAAAATAAATAAATTAATTAAAAATAATATATAATCTTTAAAAAAATAAATAAATAAAAGCACATTGAACCAGTAGTTTCCAAACTTGTTTTGTATATCTGAGTCACCAGAGGAGCTTGTAAAATACAGGCAGGTTCCCGGGCAAAGCCTCAGAGCTGGTAAATCAGGCTCAAAGGGGCCCAGGAATCTGTCCTGTTGACAAGCTCCACAGGTGATCCTCTGCAGTCAACACCAGTGCAGGGCTTGGGAGCTAGTGCATTAAACAGTGACAGCTGAGACACTTGCACATTGCCACTAAATAAGATATGTACTGTGTTCAAAGTTTCTTTTCAGAGAGATATAAAGGCAGCCCAAGCTGTAAGATAGTATAGCTTAATTAAAATTCAGCCATTTAAGAAATTTTAGATTAAAAGAGAGAATCATAATATATTTTAGTGTTATGAATTATACATGAAACAAATTTCAGGATGAACCAAACAATATGAAAAAATCTAATAAGATTTAGAAAATTAGGTCTTGATAATACCTAGAAGCAACTTTGGTGGCAGTCATAATGTTAAGATCTATTTAAAAGATGCAAAAGAAGCGGTGGTACAGATATACAATGGAATATTAGTCATAAAAGATGAAATACTGCCATTTGCAACGACATGTATGGACCTTAAGATAATTATGCTAAATGAGATAAGCTAGACAAAAAAAGTTGAAAATCATATGATATCACTTATTACAAAATCATATGATATGTGGGATATAAACCTAAAAGCAACAAACAAACAGGACAAACAAACAGAGACTCATGGACATGGACAATAGACTAGTGGTTACCAGAGGGTAGTGGGGAGGAGAGATGGGGGAGGTAAATGGGGGAAAAGGGGTGAAATATGCGGTGACAGAAAGAAATCTAACTATAGGTGGTGAGCACACAATGTAATATATATATGCCTTACTGTTGAATTGTACAGCTGAAACTTACTGGATTTTGTTAACCAATGTCACCATAATAAAAAAATAAATAAAACAAACAAAATTAAAAATTTAAAAAGAAACAACAAAAATAAATAAAGATGTTATGTTAATCTTATGCAAAAGTAAGCTCCATAATTTCCCCAATAAATCACTGTTCTCAACATAAAATACATTTTTCTCTATTTTTTTCCCACTGGGACTTTTTTCATTCCATAAAATAGAAATCTACAAAATAACTTTAAAATGTTAACTGATGATTAAGTTCTTTCTCCCAATACAATGGAATGCTACTGAGAAAAGATGAAGTACTGTCATTTGTGACATGGATGGATCTTGAGATTACCATGCCAATAGAAATAAGTCAGACAGAAAAAGTTGAGAATCAAGTGATTTCATTATATGTGGGATATAAAACTGAAAGCAACAAACAAACATGACAAACAGAGACTTATGAACATGAACAATGGCTTAGTGGTTACCAGAAGGAAGGCGAGATGGGGAGGTAGATAAGGATAAAGGGAGTCAAATATATGGTAATGAAAGTTAATTTTAACTTCCGGTAGTGAATACACAGTGCAATATACATATAACATAATATTGAATTGTACAGTTGAAACCTATATGATTTTATTAACCACTGTCACACCAATAAATTTAATAAAAAAAATCTTTTTGCTTTTATGTATGTTATAGATTTTAACTGGAACATTGAAAAGCACCTATTACAAGACCAAAAGAATTCCAATTCCAATCTCAAAATGCTTGGTAGGTATGAATACACTATATAAACATGATATAATAATGAGCATAAATATAATAATCAACATGAAAAAGGTAAAAACAGCAAGCTATAAAATGTCGATATGGAGAAAACATTACTTTTAGAAGCTTGTGGGTACACCTTTAGGTAACCAACACATACTAATTAATTAAAATTAATTTATATATAGTTATTGGATTCATTTTTGAAAGTGAAGCAGTCAAATTAGATTTTGCAAAGTAGAGTGAACTTATTACCTTGAGCTATAAGAAAACATCATATTAATTGTCATAAAAATTTTATGACTAAAACATTATACAGGCAAAGGAATGTCAGTCTAGTACAGTAACAAAAGCATGGGCTTTGAAATCAGACAGACCTGGGTTTGAACGCCAGTTCTGCTATTTAGTTATTTATGACCTCAGATTACATTTAAAAAAAATTAAAAGTACTACATACATATTATAATAAAAAAGATTTTCTACATAATATAGCAGTCACCTGTTTCATCCAGGTTTAACTATTTTAGCTGTTTACTTCCACACTCTTCAATAATTAGCTTGCACTACTAGTGATTTGTCAGTTTTATGCACTTTTAGATCTACTGATTTCCTATTAAGATAGAACGAAATTCAGTTATTTTATACCATCCCTCACCACTTGCCCTGTCCTCTCAATGTAAGTACATCACAATATTTGTTTAAATATATAAGTAGTGTTCATGATATGTGATTGTGCAAAATTGTCACTGCAGAGCCAAGTAGGATACTCTGTTTTTTTCTTATAAAACTTTTTTCACCCTTTTAAAAGTAATTATCTTTTAAAAACTTAGTCTTCTATGCACTTATCTTTAATGTTTTCCCAAATGCTTCCCATCTATCAGTTACCTATCTTAAAAGCCAAGACCTCCCCCTGTTCTTACAAGTGGGACAAGTTACTTTCCAGGCCTGTGGAGCGGCTAGCATCTTGAGATTCTCATTTACTGCATATAAGTATACTGGATCTCTTGTGGTTTAGTCTCACCTTTTTTTTTTTTAACTACTATTTTTTTTTTTTTTTGGTGTTTATAATCCGGTAGCTTCTTAAGAAAGAGTGCATAAGCAGTCAACATGCATGCCTGAAAATGTCTTTTTCTACCCTTGTACTAAATTCATAGTTTGGCTATATAGGGAAATCTAAGATGAAACAAATTCTGCCTTAGAATTTTGAAGTATTCGATGCTCAACTGCTTTCTAACTTCTACTTTCTGTTAAACATAAAATACCATTCGTACTCTTGATCTTTTGAATTATTTCCCCCTCCTCTCTGACCTCTTCAGACCATTTCTTTATCACTTATATTCTGAATATCAAGGCAATCTGTGTCTCTTTTCACTCACTGTGCTAAGCATTTGGTGGCCCTTTCAATTTAGAGATACATGTCCTTTAGTCCAGAGAGCTTTCTTATCTATTTCTTTGATACTTTTCCTCCTTTTTATTATCTCTGGTCTTTTACTGAAACTCCAATTAGAGGAGTGTTGGATCTGTGCACTGTTCCTCTAAATCTCCCTTTTTTTCTTATTTTCCACCTTTTATCTTGTTCTTCCTGAGACTTCCACGGCTTTGCTAGGGCTTTCTTTACTGAATTTAAAACATTAAACTCAACATTTAATTCTTGTTCTCTATTCCTTTTTTCATATATTCTTGTTCATACTTTTTGGCTGCAATACTGTTTTATTTCACTTGGAATATTAACAGCTGTCTTTGAAGTCATTTCCTGTATTATCTCTGTTTCCAAGTCCCTTTTATTTCTCTTTGTTTTGGACTCTTAATTTTAGATATTTTCTTTTCCCCAAATGTTCAGGATCTCTCACAGTCTAGTATCTATTCATATTAAAGAGCAAGACACTAAAACAGTGATTAGAAGCTGTGTCTGTTTGGGGAAGGAGCAGAGCTAGATGACTTGAGAGCTTCTCTCTAGGATGACTGGGTAGTGAGCCAGCCTTGGTTGGGAAACCCTCCAAAAGTCAGTAGGTCTTTTCTTTGGAGTTCAATGAATTCCTCAAAAGAACCATCCTCCAACTTCCTATCTGGGCCATGGTTGGCTAAAATCAGAGAATAAAATAGGGAAAACAAAAGTTACCTTAATCTCAGTTTTCAGCCTAACATCTCTCATTCTCTATTCTATGCCTGGTCTCTACATATCTAGGGAGCCCTCTGGAGAACATATCTTCAGTCTTTTGCCTGAAGAGGCGACTGCCTGGCTGTGTGGGGGAAGGATATTGGGAGGGGTCCCACGTTCCATGTAGACTTTGAACCAATCTCCTCTCCTTAGCTCATGCCTTATCGGAAGCTCCGACAGCTTCTGATACTTCAAAGTTCTGAATCTCTTGGGAATTGTGAGGGACAATCTGCTCATCAGCTCATTTATATCCTCTTTTACAGACACTTTAGTTTGTGGTTTAACCCTGTTCTGCTAAATTGGTTACTATTTCTTCAATTGCTTTTCTCATCACAAACTCTTTTCAAATCTCTACTTCGCTGATAGTTCTTCTCTCATCTCCTTGTCCTTATAGGTTTACACTTTTAAAATAATTTATTTTTCAGTTTAATGGAGTTTAGGCAAAAAGAAGAGGTAATTTGTTTAATCATCATTATTAAGCTTTCTAATGTTTATTGTGAAGATTATATGTAAAGCTCTTGGAATAATATCTGACATGTAGTTGACTCAGAAAAGTAATTTTCTAACCTTGAAATAAAAAAAATTACTGGTTTTAAAATGTTAATGATTAGGATATGAAGAAGCCGACTGTCATTAGGAATAAGGAGTGATAAGAGAAAAGTTTAATGATTTTAAGATTTACATAAAATTATAATGTGTTAATCTCAAAGAGATCTGGACACATCTAGCATATATAAGAAAATGGAGTCCCAAAGAAGTTATGTGGTTTTCTCAAAGTCAGTCAATGAAAAAGCCTGGACAAAAAGAGTAATGATTCCCCAGCGACTTTTCAATTCCCCCAACACACTTGGAAGTCATCAGCTGGCTACAGAAAGCATGAACGACCTGCTTGATAACTCAGATGCTATGTTTGAAGGAGGAAGACAATTATGAAAGAATATTAAGAGACACACAGTAAGCTTAAAAACCCCTCCACTCTTCATTTTCCTCATTGTCAAAGACCATTTCTTTCACATCCACAGCTTCAAAGGTTACCTGTTTTTTATTCCCTTCACCTATTTTTACCCCACCTGTGTTTTAATGTCTCCCTTAAACCCAAATTCATCTGTTGGCAGCCACTGGAGATTAAGGAGCTGCCCAGAACAAAGAATAATCCTACTCTAGCCACACTAGAGACTACAGCAGGAGAATGATATTTCTAGATGAATCTGCAAGCTCTGGTTTCAGGCTTACTTTTCACAATTCCTTCTTACATTCCCTAGACTAAGTTTAGATAAATTTTTTGGTTTCTTCAAAATAATGAATCTTAAAAGAACTTTCTAAAAATAATAACTCAATAACAAATATTTAGAAGAGCAAAATATCTTACCAGTAGGTTGGGGAAAAACTGGACGAATGGTTCCGGGTGGTATAGCAGGAGGATAACTTGGAAATATTGGTGGAGGCAAAGGGAAATTCATTCCTAAGGAGCCCTATGGAAGTATTTAAAAGTTATAAGACAGTGCAACAAAAATATCTATAGGGATTAATTTAAAATTTAGTAGAGAAGTTGTGAACAGTTCTCACCAATTGTTGTAAAGCAAAAAGTGCAGCTTTTTCCTTGGCTTCATTTTCAGAATGGCACTGTGGCCCATGTACCATTAAGCCATTAGATAATTTCACTTGGCAAACTGTCATTGTCTAAAAAAGAGAATATGAATGTCTATAAAGTTATCTGTCTAGGAAGTCAACTCCTCACCCAGAATGTAGTTTAAACAAGTAGAATAATTTCATCTGACACTGTGTAAAAAAAAAAAAAAAAAATGCAAGATTCAATTAAGGACTCTTAGTTTAAGTTTTGGGTTGCCATGTAAAAACTTTAAAATTGTTGCCTAGTCTTTCGATGTTTACAAAATAAAATGCTTCTGAAGGTAGCTGAAGGGTCAAGCATCCTAATACAAATGAAAGCCAGCAAAACTGTTTTCTTTATGCCAAGGAGTTGTGAAACTAGGTCTTCCACTTTGTTTTTTTGTTTGTTTGTTTTGTAAATAAGATTTTATTGGAACACAGCCAGAGTTCATTCTTTTATGTATTGTCTATGGCTGTTTTCATACTCTAACTGAAAAGTTGAGTAGTTTTGATAGAGACCATATGTCCTGCAAAGGCTAAAATATTTACAGAAAAAAATTGCTGACCCTTGCATTACACCATCCTCCAAGTAGCAGATATTTCACTAATGTGAATTAATTGTCACGATCTAAAAGACTCAGAGGTGTTGACTGATTTTATATTCACATTAATTTTTTCAATTAAATTAACCGGAGTGACATTGGTTAATAAAATTATATAGGTTTAAAGTGTACAGTTCAATGTCATATGTATACTGCATTGTGTGTTCACCATCCAAAGTTCAATTTCCTTCTGCCACCATATATTTATCACTCTTTACATTATACTTACTTTTTCTTTTACAAAAAGGATTTTTTAAAAATTCTGTTTTTTCAAAAGGTAGCTAGAATTTAATACTACTTTCTGTTTCAGGTGAGAATGTATCAAGAACTCAAATGTAAAAAGGATGAAACAATCTTGCATGTGGCCAGTAGTTCTCAAGGTGCAGTCTAGGGACTCTGTGGGTCCCTGAGACCCTTACCCTTTTCCAAGGATCCTTGAGGTCAAAATTATTTTCACAATAGTATTAAGATGTTATTTGGCTTTTCACTCTCATTTTCCCACAAATAGGAGACAAAAAGTTCATTGATATAGTTTCAGATTCTACATTGTAACTAACCTTTAAGAAAATACCGCATTTTAATGTAGTACCAAAGAATAACCACAATTATATGGAAAGGCTATTGAAATTCTCTCCTGTTCCCCAACTATCTATGTGTGGCCAAATTTTCTTCATATATTTCAACCAAAACAACATATCACAAGAGATTGATAGTAACAAGCAAATATGAGAATCTAGCTTCTTCTATTAAGCTAGATGTGGAAAGATTTGCAAAAATGGAAATCTCACTGAATTTTTTTGAAAATTTATTTTAAACAATAAATATTTTTAAATTTTTTCAGTTTTAATTTCTAATACAGTACATGGGGGATATAACACAAAGTAATCAAAAGTTCTTTAGAGTCTTCAAAAAAGTGGAGATTTTCTGAAACCAAAAAATTTGAAAACTGCTTTACACCAAGATCCCTAGCTCCATCAGTCTAAAGAGTGTTGGCTTTAGTTAGCATCCTTGCTGTCTAGGTTTCTCTATCAGCTTCTCTGAGGGTTCTGGTTTTAAATAAATGGAACAACTAGAGCAAGAATTATAAGCCTATGATGCTCATAAAGTCAAAAAAAAGTCAGCCCCATTAGATATTTTTCTAGCCAAAGATTTTCAGTCAATTTATTTAAGCTCAGTGTTAAATAACTTCTATTAATGGAAAGTAGTATACTATACCTGCGGTGTTCTAAGAAAAGAGAAATCTGGTTGTGGCATTCCAACAAGGGAACAAATTCGAGAAAGTTCAGTTACTGGTGTGGACACAGGAGGGAGCTGGCTGGGAGCAGGCCAACACACATTTTCCATAGACTGCACATTATGGTACTCACTAGCACTGTGAGGCTTGTTCATATAAGATGCTACCAAAAAAGGGAAAAGGACATATCTATATTAAATGATATCTCAAACTATGCAATTATTGCAGGGTTTCATAGAATACAAGCAGGAAATTGATAAAAGGTGAGAAAAGGAATCTTTCATGAAGCAAATATAAGAACTATTTAGTATTGCCTAAAATTACTGAGAATTTAATAAACATTTCGAGGTGATTTCAATTGATTAATGATACATGATTAAGATAAAGATTTTAAAATATGATACGTAGCTGACTGCCAAAAATGAACATCTCGACAGATTCATGATTACATAGTTATTTTACAGGCAAAATTCAACCCATTTCCTATTTAGAAAAAAAAAGTACAGCTTGCTGCCAGCATTAATTTAATTTTATATAAACATACTCTTTGAGGATGAAGCAAATCTGACTGGTTTCAATATAAAAATAAAATATAAAAACTGTTCTTGGAATTATTTCTGAACAGAACTTGACTCTAATCCTATGTAAGAGAAATGTATACATACAAATCGGATTCATCAGATGAATCTTCAGCTAACAACTGTTCGAGACGATGTTAAAACATCACGTGTAGGCATGCTACAATTTTTAGGATTTGACATTTTCAGCAATCAAAAATTACGAATGGAAACACCACTGCTAAAAACAGAAAGCTATAAACAGAATTATGTCATTTGTTTCCAAAGAGTCAATATACTAGAGTGATGCAAAAATAATAATAAAAGTGAGATATTTCGTGGCAAACTTTGTGGTAAAGTGAGGACCGTTACTGCGAGCTATCTAGGGTTAAATGCTGCAGCCCCCAAGCACTGCTGGCGAGTATTCTCAGGGCAAACGGAAAATGGGTTAAACAAGCAAATGGCTTTCTTCGCCCGATTTACAATTAATTCCTAAATTTTGAGGCTTTGGCTTCAGTCTTACTTCTCACCATTTTATCTTACATTCTGAGACACATGGATGAATGCTTTTGTTGCTTCAAATAGTGCTTAAAATTTTCCCTGAAATTAAGTCTTTTAAAGTGCTTTTAGATAGAAAATGATTTAAAAATTCTGAAAGTTCACATTATTTCATGATCAGCAAACTCACTAATAGAACAAGAGCAACCTCTGTGAAGGATGAATCTAAACCTCTTACTGTTACAGATTTTAAAAAAGGTTAAGTGGCTTGCCCAAAGTCACAAATCTCATTAGTTTTGCTAACATGGGCTGGATTCAGCTCTTGACTCTACAGTGTATGAAAAAAAGTAAAAGTTACTTGTTTTTGACAGTGGGACCATCTTTATCCAATTTTGAGTTTTAAGATTTTATTTTGCTCTATTTCAGGAATATGTCTGTCACTATGATAGTTTCCTAACAGTTACTGAAATATTTAATTATTTATCCCAATATTCACTGGAGTATAAATGGAGGTAGGCTCTGATTTTGTTCTAGATTTTGAACTTCTGTCACCATCTACTTTTGCATTAGTAATTCTTCATGGCAGTATTTTGCAGATAATTACATAGACAAAATACTAAACTATAGGGGACATAGAGGGTAGGGACAATAATAGATATTTATTGAAATCCAGACATGTGCCAGATGTTATGTTATAGGCTTCACAGATTTGAGGTAGGTACTCACTTTCCAATGTCTGCCTCCATTATTTTTAATTGATTTTATAGCTTCTTCTATTTTTATGGTGGTCAAGTTTTTTTTTGTTTTTTGTTTTTTTTAACAAAATGCTAATATCAGTTCTTGGCATCTATGAATGTGCCAGACACAGTGCTGCTTTATACATGTCGTAATTATTACAACAGTCATTTGCAATGTTATTCTCACTTTATAAATAGGAAAAAAGAATTTTAGAAAAGTTAAGTGATGTATTTAAATTTTACGATCATTTTTAAATTACTGAGGAAAAAAGCTAGAATGTGAAAACCTTTCCAGGTTTGGGGTCTACAGAATAAGTATCTGTAATAGTACAATTTAGGTAATCACAAGAAGACCTTTAGGGACTACACATCATTGGTTACATAGTTAAATTATATAAATGACACAAGCATACAAATTACACTCTTATTTGTTACTTTTAATTATATTCTTTTAAAAATTAAAGTAGTTTTATCTTTAAAAAGCACATGATAAAAAAATGAACTGAATTTTTGAAATACTGGTTATTAGTAACTGTACTTAGTTTACTTACTTGGTTTCTTATTTTGTTTAGGCTGTGAGGAAGGTCCAGATTCATCTCTTCTATTAGAGGAAACGGTGACTTTATTATCGATCTGTTTCATTTCATTCTTACGGCCCACGGAGTCAGAACCATCAATTTTTAAAATTTCTTTAAGCATCCGTGTTCCCTTCTGTTTTGAAAATGATTGGTATGAAGATGGTGGGGTTAGGGGAAGAAAAGTTATCAGAGTTACAGAGCTTACTGATCCTTCTTGTAATGAGTTACATTGTTAAAAATTAAACCAACAACTATATTCAGACAGAGAATAAGGAAAATCAATAGCCTAGAGTTGAAACAAAACAAAACAAAACAAAACCCTCATTTCTCGGCATAGAAAGAATGCTTACTCTTCTGCTTAACTTTTGACCAAATTGCCTAGTAGCAATGTTTGAAAAACAAGGGAGCTATATATGATCTAAAGACAAAAAGGAAAAAGATGGTTTAATTGCCCAGGGCAGCCAGATTTTCCTCACATAATGACAACATTGATACAACACATCAGTCTACATGAAAGAAAACTGTTAACAGCTGCATGTGGTATGTATGCCTGGCCAAAAATAGTAAAATTACTGCAGTACAAAAGCTCCTACGAAATACCTACCATAGCAAATGACTGTGGTGACAAATGTTCTTCACTTGGAGGCTCTTCATGATGAGATGACTGTACTTCATTTTCTTTGGAGATATTCAAGGATGCTAAAAAGTTCTCAATTCCAGTGTTAGGCTAGAAGAATAAATATTTTGTGCATGAAGATGAAAGCACAGAGACACAGAGAAAACTAAAAGTTTTATATACAAAAATGATTCTTAAATTTTCACCTAATTATCTTCCCAGGTTTAGAGTTTGGGAAGATAAACTGAATAAATGACCTTTTACCTTATTAAAAGCATTTGGATAACCAGCCACAATCGTTTGGTTTTTTGAGACTTCTGTACTTTCATTTCTCTTCACTAGCTTAATATTACATTTGGCAAGCCCTCCAAACGTCTATAAAAGAGTACGAATGAGCTTTTTGTGCAAATAAAATTTATAGTTACTATTTAATAGTTCTAAATAAATAGCTGTAAATTTTTTAATGTGAAATTCTCCTTTTTTATCATAAGTAAAAAAGGGGGGCCTGTAAATTTGAATGAGAAAAAAATTACATCTTTATCTTCATTAACTTCTAGATAAGATTTAGCATTCCCTTTAATTATGAATGTGGGCAATAAACCACAATAGGGGTGACCTAATTCTATTTCAATAAAATTAGTTTTCACTCAAATCTTATGTATTTTATTTTAGCATTAAAACGTTATTCTGAGAAAGAGTCCATAGGCTTCATCAAAGAGGTCGATGGCACAAAAAGTTTATAAATGCTTTTTCTAAAAAAAAGAAATGATAGCATAAGAGTTTCAAAAGGAGAGGGCCTTAAAAGTCATGTAATTCAACCATTTTACTGACATCTAAATATAATGAGTTCCATTTATAGAGAAACTGCTATGCGCCAAATATTCTGCTAAGATGTCCTCTATAAATTTAATATATTACTAGTTTATAAGACCTAATTTTTTTCAAACTCTGTAGTAATAAAATATACATATAAAAATGCACACATCATAAGGGTATATGTTGAATTCTTTTAGATTAAAATTTTGTTGTACTTTGATTACAAAATACATACTTCATATCAAATAGCAGAAACTATATAAAAATAAAACATAAATCTCAGCTTCCCCCAACCAATCTAACTCTGTAGAATTAACTCTTAACTTTGCTATGTTGATCCATATACTTTCATTGTATATATAAACATATTTCCATATGTTTTAAATATACACATATATACACTTATGTATGTAGGTACGTAGGTATGTATATTTAGACTATGTATATTGAGAGAGATAAGTGTTTTTTTAATCTCCATTTCAAAGATGAAGAAATTGAGGTTGAGAGATGCAGTGAAGTGCCCAACTACTAAACAGCAGAATCAGGGCTTCAGATATTTCAAGTTTTAAATCTTGGACTCTGGCTCTGCAACCTCCCATCCAAGTGAATGGCAGGCTATGCTTTAGCACCCTCATGCCACATACCTTATAAATTTGATTGAAAGGGCTGCAATATGCAGTTAGATGTCAAAGAGCAATAAAATGTTGGCTACTAGAAATTAAATTTTAAGAAAGCTTACCTGTCATAAAACATTAAAAAAAAACCCATAAAGATTTTTAAAAAAAGGGAGGCTTACCTGCTTATTTGAAATTTTTTGTGACCGACTCTCAGTTTTAGGACTCTTACACTCTTCTTTAACTAGAGACAAGAAAATAGAAATTTTAGTAAATAAAGGAACTTACTAAATACCAATTAAATTTACCAAATATTTACTACCACAAGGCACTTTGTTAAAAATTCACAGAATTCCAAGAAGGCAAAGGCCCCTGACCTTGAGGAACTTATAATCTAGATGAGGGGGAGAAGGGACACTCACAGATAACAAATATAATGGAAAAGGAAAGGTAGCATCTAATTGAGCCTTGAAGGATAAAGGTTTCCAAAGTGCTGAATAGGAGGCTAAGTATTCCAGGCAAAGGAAATAATAGGAGAAAAGACATGGAAACAGAGAGCGAGGAATGTGTTTATAAAACTCTAAATAGACCAGCTCCACTGGAGGTTAAGAAGTATAATGGAGCTTAAATGAACTAAAGAAGCACATTGGAGCCATAATCTCAGCAGTACTGAAGACTATGGAATTAAACTGGTAGACAGTGGGTAACCAATCTGAGCAGGTAGTGATCTGATCAGAATTGTGCCTTAGGAAGATTAAAATATGGCAGTGGCTTATTGAACAGATAGGAAATTAAGAGACCAATTAGGAAGCCGTTTTAGTAGAAATATTAAGGTAAAATTGGGGGAATGTTAGGAGAAATGAAAAAGATGAATTAGAAGAGGAAGGAGGAAAGGAAAAAGAGAAAGAAAGGAAGGAAAGAAGGAAGGAGAGAGGGAGGATGGGATGAAGGGAGAAGGGGACTAAGGAAAAAGGAGAAGGTGAGGAAAGAAGTAGGGAGGGAATGAGATGAGTGAGGAGAGAAGGAAAAGGGCAAAGCTAGAAAAGGAAGAGTGGGAACAGAGAGGGGGAAAAGAAAGCAGGAAGTGGGCGAAAGAAAGGGAAAGAAGTAACCTTGCAAAAAGGATGAAACAAAAAGGAAAACTGATGGGTATTGACATTAAACCTTCATAGAGACACACACAAAGAAAACTAATTAGAATTCCATATAATGTGAATAGTTTACATACATTTATATAAACAATAATTTGAAGAAAAATCACAAAGTATTTCAATTAAATATAAAACTTTAAGGTATATTTATTAGATTTATAGGGATATTAATCTGTATTTAACTTAAAATGTAAAAATGTAGAGCACAGATATTGGTACAAAAAATAGTTTAGCAGTTATCAAACTGAACCAAAGTTATAAAACAATTAAAAAAAATAGCTTTTTAGGAAAATATTTTAAAGAACTACTTTAATATTACATGTACTATATAAATACATAAAATATCATGAATAATTAATATTTAATAAGTTAGCATCAGGACTGTGTACTTGATGTTTCCTCTGACAGAAAGCTCTTCAGCAAGCTTTCTGCATAGCTTATCCCATTCCACTCCCATTTTATTTGGGTCTCTTTAAATGTTATGTCAAACAGGCATTCCTTGACCATTTTATTTAAAATAGGACCCCTATCACTGAGTATGGAATTTATTATTTATTTGCCTATTATAAAATTCCACTTATTAGGTAGAAAACTTGGCTGTCTTGTTCACTTGTGTACTCGCAGCAACTAGAACAGTACCTTGCAACTTAATAAGTAGCTACTGAATAAATAAATGAATGAATAACAAATGAACCAAAGTTTGAACATAAAGAGCTATTTCCTGCAATTTGGGAATACTTTGATTAAGAGAAGAGAAAAAGTGCAAGATTAAGATTCTCATCTCTGTACTTGCATCCCTTGCTGTGCCTGGAACACAGTAGAAACCACTGAAGGAAGGAAAAGAGTAAAAATATACAAACTAGGAAGGAGAATATTAACAACAAAATATTCGTACACATTTTTAACTAAAATCTGTAATACAGTTTGGAGAAATTTAATTAGCAAGTATTTACACAAAAAAGTAACTGAATTACTTTAAATAAAATTTATCTCAAAAAATAGTGGGGATACATCAGCAAAAATGTCAGCAGAGGGATCTCTAAAAATTCTCTCCTCCATAAAAGCAATGAGAAAATGGACAAAAATTACCAGAATCCAAATTTTCAGAATGATGGAAGTTAATCAAAGGTTTACGGCAATCTGAGGAATGTTTATTCAAGATTAAAGACTAAATCTTAATAAAGAACATCTAACTAAAATCCCACAGCTAATATTATACTTAATGTTGAAAAACTCAAAGTTTATCCCTGAGATCAAGACAAGATAAGAATGTTCACTCTCGCCACTTTTATTCAACATCATACTGGTGGTTCTAGCCACCGCAATTAGGAGAGAAAAAGAAATAAAAGGCAACCAGATTATATAGAAAACAGTTCCATTGACAAGAGCAATAAAAAAATACTTAGAAATAAATTTAACCAAAAAAAAAATGCAAGATTTGTACACTGAAAACTGTAGACATCACTGAAAGAAAATTAAAGACCTAAATAAATGGAAAGATATTTTGTGTTCATGGATAAGAAGATTTAATATTGTTAAGATGACAATACAATACCACCCAAAGTGATCTACAGATTCAATGCAATCCCCATAAAAGTTCCAGCTGCCACTTTTGCAGAAAGAGACAAGTTGATCCTAAAATTCATATGAAAATGCAAGGGGTGATGAAAATGTATTCAATTTAGACAGTGGCACTGGTTGTATAACTTTGTGACAATACCAAAAAAGTACTGATTGAATACTTTAAAAGGATGGATTTTATGTCATGTGAATTATAACTCAGTAAAGCTGTTAATATTAATAAAAAGAAAGCACCAGAGTTATAGTTTAACTTAAAACTTACATTTACTGTGAGGCTCATGTTTTCTCTGCTGACATTTAATATTGTCATTTAAGCCAGATTTATGATGTTGAGATACTTGACTTATTTCTTGAGGTAGGCCTGCACCCTGAAAGTTAAAATTCTTATAAATGATTTAAACAAACTCTTAATAGTATAGCTACTTCTTTTTTTAATGATTAATAAATAATTACTTTATTATTTTTATAATGATTAGATTGCTCATAGAAAAAAATTAAGGAATGCAGAAAAGCATAATTTAAAACACCACTCAAATTCCACCACCCAGAAATAACCATTATTAACATAATGACCATCACTCCAGACATTTCTCTATGTATTACTTAGCTGGCAAGATACAAAGAAAATTATCATTTTACAAAATGCCTTTCTATGGAAAAAAATTAAATCTAATTTTGCTTGACATTAATATATAAACTAAGGAAAAGATTAAACTTTAGGGAAATGTTTCTTCACAACAGAAATATTGGCTTCTAAAGATCCCCATAGATTTGCTTCAAAATAATCTTATCTCTGGGATAGGTGGGGGTGGGAAATGAGTAGATGTTACAGAGGAACATGTGCAAGGTAACAAATGGGTACCTGTGGGTTCATATTCTTTTGACTTCATTATTTTAAAATTTCCCATTAAAAAGCTTTTGAAAATTCATCATTTCTGCCTCTGTTATGAAAGCTGAGGATATTAGCCCTCCTTCATCCCTTCCCCCAATACCTGATTTTTAACTTTTATACTGTCAGGGTTTTCCAATGATGGAAGACTACTACAAGAGAGCAACACTGACTATAAAGCTATAGTAATTGAGATAGTATAGAAATGGCAGAATCAGTAAAACAGCATGAGTAAGTTTCATCTAAAGATCATATCAGATCCCTTTGTTTTCTGATATTGAGAGGAGGCCTGAAGTTAAAAAGATATAACTTTCCACAGTTGAAGTGGAAGAGGAAGCGAAAGCATAGGTTATAGATCTTCAATACAAATATATGATTTCATAAATTTTGCTTTTGGTGTGGCCTATTTATTTTCTTCTGAGCACAGACAAATGAACACTGGGTACAAAGGCACATCGTGTCCTAGTTGGCAGTGAGCACGCTTGAAAATAGTTGTGATATGCACCAGAGTGTGAAGGAAGGTCCAATGAGCTCATATGTACAGAATCAAAAGGGCCAAGAGATTTGTCTGTATAGCACAATGCTTGGTGGGGTTTTGGGCTACAGCAGTATATTATGGGGATTTTGATTCTAAGGAAGGGAATTAGAACATCAGGATCAATAGATTGGTATGAAAAAACATTGTCAGAGTGTCTATTATGTGCCAGGCATGGTAAGATGTACTTTGCATTCATTATCTTAATATCACTATAACAATACTATAATCATAAAAATGCTATGGTAGATTTTGATTCCATTATATAGATAAACAAACTGAGGCTCAAAGTGATAAAGTAATTTGGTTATAGAACTAATAATAGGAGAGTTAACATTTGAGTTCTAACTCTAAAACCCATGTTCACAGTACCATTTCAGAGAAAAAGGGTGCCATGTTTAATTAGAAAGAAAATATCCTAGTTTTGCATATAGTTTTTTGGGTTGTTCTATTTAATATCTACATAAAGCTGTTTACGTTAGTCATGTTGCCATGTTTTACCAATAAAAGCTTGAATTTTTTTTTGAAGTTTTTTTTTTAGAGTAGTTTTAGGTTCACAACAAAACTGAGAGGGAGGTATAGCCTCCCCATTATCAACATCCCTCATGAACCTACATTGACACATCGCTATCACCCAAAGTCTACAGTTTACACTGGGTTCACTCTTGGTGTTGTACATTCTATGAGTTTGGACAAATATATCCACCATTATAGTTGAGGACAAAAAAGGGACTCTGTAATAAACCTAACCAAAAGTAATCTTATGGGATGATCTGATCATAAATAACGAACTTGGTAGCTCACTGTGGGCAGTATGCCTCAGGTCTATAACTTCCCTAGTGAAAGGTTATCTTTGCCTTAAGCTAAGCCTTGTCCATTGTTTTTGTGCATCTAAGTTAATACACCTTGGAAATGCCTCTTTTTTCAGACCCCTAGTAACCACGCTCAGGAAAGTATATAATCTTAACTGGTTTGTAATCCAACAGTAGATATTTTCTTTTCTTGCTTTTTCCCACATTCATGTAATTTTCCTTACCTTCCCTCCTTAATTCCGAATGTATAAAAGAAATTGCAAACTGTCATTCTGGGGAGCATTTGAGATTTTGCTTCCTGGCATGTTGTCTGTTTTGCTCAAAGAAACTTTCATAAAAATTCTTTACGGGTCTGGACATTTCTTACATTGACAGTAGTATTGTACAGAGTATTTTTCAGTACTCCCCCTCCACCCCCCAAAAAATCTGTGCTTTGCTTATTCATCCCTCCCTCTCTCCCTAACTCCTAGCAACCACAGATCTTTTTAACTGGCTCCATAGTTTTGCCTTTTCCAGAAGCTTGAATACTGGTTTTTTTGTTTTGTTTTGTTTTGTTTTTTTAAGTCACGCTGAGTTTTCTAGAATTTTGTCACTGGATGAGTATCAGGCTGCTTTTTAATGTCTCATGGATATGTGTTACATGTGGTGGCTCATAACTCTTGGAACAAACAGGAGATAAAACAGTGGAGAAGTCAACTGATAAAATGAAATAGCAATCAATACCAGAAGATGCATGCAGAAGATTCTGAGGAAATAAAACATCAAGTGTTGAGTTCCATCTCAAGGAAATAGGTGGTAAAATGACTAGCAGACCTTGATTGAGACTTAGGGGAATTTTGGTAGTGAGAAAGGAAAGGCATCTTAAGTGGAAGGAACAAGAAGAACACATAGCCTGTAAGGGGAATTATCTATTTGTGAGAAAGGGAATGTAAAGAGAGCAATCTGACTGGAACAGACCATTAAACCAAATGGTTGGACATAGCTCATATAAGAATTAGGTAAGGTTAAATTATAGAAGGACTAAATGTTAGTTTGAGTTGAGGCTGAATACCAGTAGCACTAAACAGTGAGCCTTATACATTCTAAATATTTGAACACTATTTTGGACTGAAAAAAATCTCCAAAGTGATCTAAGTCTAATAACTTAATTTTGTACATGAGGCCAAAGAGGCCCAGGGAAATCAGATGTGCTCAATCCGAGTCACAAAACTTGATTTCCTGATTCTGAGTCCAATAGCAGATTTATTATACCACACTGTCTCAGGGCATAAACTTGAGTTCAAACCCAGGAACTCTTATTAATTAGATGCTTTGACTAATTATTCTACAAGGCCACGACAGGTTAAAGGATGTTTAGGAAAGATTGATCAGACAGTACTATGTAAGAAGAACTAAAAAAGAAAGACATAAGAAACAAAAAATGCACATAAGAGGTTAATTTAGAATTGGAATGACAATCTAAGGTCCAGTAGTGGGAGTAAACAGTTTGGGATGTCATTATAAAAAAATATTAGAAATAATGGGTAAAATGTTTTGATTCTATGCTTTTCAGATTATACAGGTGGGGAAAATGGTAGTGTTAGGAACAAGAATAAGAGAGGAGGCCAAAAGTGAGGTCATTTCTGAGATGTCTTGAGGTTGAAGGGATGGTGGGCATCCATCAATATCTGTTTTCTAGAAAGTTGGAGATATTGAGTTAGATCCTGTTTGAGAGGTTGGAATTAGAGATATAGATTGTGTGGTAATTAGCAGAGAGGTAAGAACCAATGTCACAAGTCAAGCAATAAGGCAAAAGGGAAAGAAAACTGTTCTTGAATTTTATGGAACAGTCTCAGTGAAAGGTTATAAGAACAGAGGTTATTAAAAAAGTTGAACAAATGGAGAAAGACAAGACAGAACTCAGGGTAATGTTTCCTTTTAGAGCAAAACTCCTTCAAAGAATTGCATGTATTTGCTGCCTCCAATTTCTCTCCTCTTCTTTCTTAAATCCACTCTAATCAGTATTTCACATCTCTCACTCTACTAACGGTGCTCTTGTCAAGGTTCCCAAAGACTTTAATGTGCTAGACTCTATGGTCATTTCTCAGTTTTTACCTCAATTGATCCAAGAATAACATCTGACACAGCTGATAACTCTGTCCTCTTTGACATCCATTCTTCACTTGGCATTTAGACACCACCCTGTCCTGGTTTTCTTCTGTTTCACTAGCCATTCCTTCTTAGTCTTCTCTGTCAGTTTCACCTAACCTCTCTGACTCTTTAAAGATGGAATTCTCTAAGGCTAAGTTATTGAACATCTTCTCTATCTACATCAACTTTCTTGGGTATAGATAAATAGATACAGTTATACAGATACACACATACACATATGTACACGCAACACACACACACACACACACGCACACGCACACGCACACGCACACACACACTGACTCCCAAATTCTCTCTCCAGTTTGGACATCTTCCATGACCTTCATACTCAATGGCCAACTCTACATCTCCACTTAAATGTTTAATATACATTTCACACTTAGCATGTCCAAAACTAAACTCTAGATCTTCCCCCACAAATCTACTCGACCTGCAATCCTCCTCATCTCTATCCTTTTAGTTACTCAGACATTAAGAGTCACATCCTTTAATCCAATTTTTCCCTTTTACCCCCATATCTAATTTATCAGATAGCAATCTCTCCCAAATATATCTAGAATTTGACCAGTTCTCACAGGTACCTACTACCCTAGTCTTAGGTCCCTATCAACTCTACTTGGTTGACTTTAGTAGTCTCCTAACTATTCCCTGTTCCCACCTTGGCTCGTCTACATTCTAGTCTCAAGAGTGATCTTATTAAAATATATGTCAGATCATGTCAATCTGATACTCAAAACCCTTCACTGATTTCCCATCTCACTGAGTAAAAGCCAATGTCCTTGTAATAACTGGGAAGGTCTTGCATGGTATCGATGTGTCACTTCTCTAATTACATTTTCTATAACGTGCCATATTAATTCATCTATAATGGTCTTCTTTCTCTTCCTTGAGTATGACAGGGATCATCTCCCCAAAAGGGCCTTTGAATTTGTCTGGAATACTTTCCCCTCTGATATCTACATAACTTACTCATTTCATTTAAGTCTTTGCTCAAATGTCACCTGATAATTCCTTTTAAAACTACAAAATCTTCCCTCTGCTCCTCCCAACATTTCCTATCTTCTTCTCTGCAATTTTTCTCAAACTTGTATATTATGGTCTAATATACCATGTAATTTTCATTACTTATCTTATTGTCCTCTTCTCCAAGGATATTAATTATATGAGGGCCAGGATTTTTGTTTACTCTCACTGCACAGAACAATGTCCGGCACTCAATAAATATGTGTTGAATGAATGATAACAAAGCACTCCTAAAAAATGACTGGTTAGCAGTATCAAATAAATTAAAGAGGAAAAGAGTGTTTGAAAATCTATATATTAATTATACTTAGGCAGAAATTATTTATGGATGATCTAACGAAAATTTATAACATATTTAAAGCTTATTGGCAGAGGAAACCTGTGTATTTTGTCACTCACTTTCTATGTTTATTTTACCATTATTCCCTTTGTTATTTTCCCCTCTCTTGCTCTGATAATGCTACCATCGCTGGAAGACATTAGAATAAATGAGACCCTCATGGTGCAGGCTACTGGCTTATAAACTTGATAGAATATTCTAAGAAGATAGGTTAATAACTTGCAAAAAATGTATTAGAAATTCATTCTTCTTTTTCTTTCTTTCCTTTTTTGTCTGAGTCTATTCTTTTAGCAGAATTTCTTTCCTCTTCTTGATCTCTATCAAGGAATATGAATTTTCTCATCTCTAAGACAACCAACTGCCAGCATAAAGCTATACATTCAAGAGGAAATTAGTAAGTTAATGAGTGTCATTAAGGCCTTTGTTTAATTTAAAATATTGTTAGTATGATTTTGTACACAACTAAAAAAAATCCACAACTGATTTAAAAGAAAAATTGTCTATATTCTCACTCATTGGTCCAAAAACTTTTATATATGGATGAACAAAATTATGCAAATTCCTGATCAAAACCGTTATTTCTATTTTATAGGCTTTTAGGAGGAAATTAATCATTGCATACCTGAAAAAGAAATATAAAATTAAATGTCCATTGAACAAGGTATACTAACCTTCTCTTGTAGAGTTGGCTCAAAGTGTTGAACCCTTCCAGATCCCTGTAAGGACTGCCAAATGTTGCAAAATTCATCATCATTTTTAGTAGGTACCTGGAAAACACAAAAAATTTCTTAAGGAACTGAAACATAAAGAAATAAAGATTCATATTAAAAACTAAATAATTTATTCATTAAAATTTTCTAGCAGTAAAGAGGATATTTAATTTTCATTATTTGGAATCTCATTTTTTCCCCTAAAGGTCAGTATAGTCATCATAAACATATTAAATTGGAGTGAAAATGGCTTTCTTCATATGTATTTGATTTTTATTCATTTTCCTGTAAAGTATTTAAAGCATAATGAATGCTATAAAAGATTATACTGAATCAATATCCCCACCAACAGATATTTTTTTGTCTTCCAACGCACTGATACATTATTTCATTTAAACTAACATCTAATGATTTTATTTTAAAAATCTCATTTTACGTAAAAGCAGTCTAATAGATTAAAAATGAGGTATTACTTATGGGGAATTGATTTCATGCAGATTAAAACTCTGGAAAAATATACATCAAATTAACAGTGGTTACCTATGAGATTTAAAAGAATTTTTTACTTTGTTTCCTTTGTTTTTGTCTTCTTATCTATGCTTTCTAAGTAGTCTGTAATAAACATGTATCATTTGGATTGAAAAGTGTGGTTAAGATCTGTAGCCATGGAATTAAATAAAGTTAAGTGTCTCACACAAAACAATTCAATTTTTGTCACCAGGAAGATGAAATAAAGGATATTACCCATGAGTTGCATGGTGGGAACTTGAAAATTTCTTTTGATAAACATGATATAGTCCTCTCTCTTTTATCTTTTGAATTTGTATAATTTTATAGCAAATAGCATAGGACATTGAGATTATATATGAAAAAGGTTAAATGTTAGTTTAAAGTAAATAAAGAGAAAAAAGATATTCTCAAGCTATTGTTATTTAAATGGCTTTCTTCTTTAATATAATTTTATAACATAGAATGCTTATAATAGCATTCTTTACTAGCTTATCAGTTTAAAATAAATCTTAAAATAAAATAAATTTAAAATAAAATAAATTGACCCAAACCAAAACTTTCTTAAAAACTAAGTCAAATTAGTTTTCCATTTATAGTCTGCCTGTGATGTGTAAAGGAGGTAGAAAGAAATTAAAGACTAAGAGTCTTACTTGTGTAGGAATAAAAAGCGATTGAGGGGAATGGTTCAAGCCTCCCAAATGCCCAGATGAAATTGATAAACTTGAGCTACAGTGATTCACAACTGGCTGCGGTTTCACAATGGCTGTCAACTTCTGATTTCCAGTTTCAGAGCGACTCCCATGAGTAAGGTTCACCAAGGCACTTGTTGGCAGTCGATAACCCCTACCAGGAGAGCACCTAAAAATAAAAAGTTGTATCAATGTCAGAGGGAAATAATACTAACTGTGCAAGGGAAAGAATCAAATAATTTTGGGGTGAACAGTCCATAGTCCAAAATAATAAATATTACTTTTATATTCAGTAGAGGATGAAATCATAGAAAAATCTTAATTTATAAGATGATGTTTTTCTGAAGAGTATCCAAATAAACTATTCAGTACTGTAGGGGTGTGTATGTGTGTATGTTAGTTTGCCTTCAGAAGGCTTGCAATATAATAGCAGAGAATGACTAAAAGTCATTAAAAAGATTGATTTGTACAGTCTGAGTTATGAAAGCCCAGGAGCTATCCAAGTGTGAAGCCATTCTCAGTATGGCTCTATCTATGCAATAGGGCAAATGTTAGCTTTGATCACATTTGTCTACTATTCAATTGTTTAGTCTAGCTCTTTTTTATCTTCAGCTTTTCATCTTAAAGTTTTGAAACTGGAAAGGCTTAATAGATAGATATTTGTGATTTCTTTCCTTCATGGCCTTGATAAAAGTGTCAGACAGTAAAGCAAGCCTTCTCTTGTCTAAAGTTTTCAACTCTATCACCTACTTTTTTCTCTCTGAGAATATAATTATCTTACGTTGTAAGATCATGGAAAAGTAGAATTATTTTATGAGAATTCTTTGTAAAATTTCTAGAAAATGTTTTTGTGATAACTACAGAAAAAGACTCTGCATTATAGAAATGAATATACTATAGACAGGTATCTTTTACACAAATCTTTATCAGTCAAGAAATCCACTGCTCTACATAAGAGGGAAAAAAAGACATTGCCAAAAAAGTTAACCATCATAAAAATAAATTTTCAGATATTGGGCTTAAGTTATTTGTAACCAAATATTTTCATGAAACAAAATTAGATATGAGATCTAGACTCTGTTGCTGCATTTGAAGAATACAAACAGTAAAGTCTGTAAGTAACAGGCACATTCAAATTGCAAAACAACAACAATGGCATTCCAAAGTTGATTGCTTGCCATTAAGAACTAAAGATTGCGATTTTACACAAAGAAGCTGAAAAAGAGTAATCAACTTCTTATTTTATTTATCCATTAATTACAACAGAAGAGAAAAAGAAAAACTAAACTAAATTTAGTTAAGTTTTCCAGTTTTTATTTACTTTTTTGACTTTTATTCTTTCAAATTTATTTTTAAATAATTTTTTTTCAATTATGGTTGACATACATTATATTAGCTTTAGCTGTACAAGATAGTGATTAGACACTTATTTAACTTATAAAGTGATCATCCTGATAAATCTAGTACCCATTTGACACCATACATATTTATTACAATATCATTAACTATATTCCCTATGCTACACTTTACATTCCAGTGACTGTTTTGTAATTACCAATTGTACCTCTTAATCCCTGCATCCCCACAACCCCCTCCCATTTGGCAACCATCATAATGTTCTCTGTATCTATGAGTTTGTTTCTCTTTTGTTTGTCTGTTTATTTTGTTTTTTAGATACCATCTATAAGTGAAATCACATAGCATTTCTCTTTTTCTGTCTTATTTCATTCAGCATAATATCCTCTAGGTCTAATCATGTTGTTGCAGATGGCAAGATTTCATTCTTTTTTTATGACTGAGTAATACTCCATTATATATGTGTACTACTTATTCTTTATCCATTCATCTATTGATGGAAATTTAGGTTGCTTCCATATCTTGGCTATTGTAAATAATGCTGCAATGAACATATAGATGCATATCTTTTCAATTAGTGTTTTGGATTTCTTAGGATAAATACCCAGAAGTGAAATACCTGGGTCCTTCTTTGCCTCTTGCCTTTGCCTTTGTGTTCAAGTCTATTTTGTCTAGTATATGTATTGCCCTTCGGCTTTGTTTTTTCATTTCTATTTGCATGAAATATCTTTTCTATTCTTTTACTTTCGGTCTGTATGCATCTTATCCATTCAGCCACTCTGTGTCTTTTAACTGGAGCATTTAATCCATTTACATTTAAAATAATTATTGATAGGTATGTACGTATTGCTATTTAATTATTCATATTTTTTATCTTTCTTTCCTTCTTAAAGAAGTCCCTTTAAAATTTTTTGTAATACTTGTTTGGTCATAATGAACTCCTTTAGCTTTTTCTTGTCTGAGAAGTTCTTTATCTGTCCTTTGATTCTAAATGATAGCTTTGCTGGGTAGAGTAATCTTGCTTTTCATCACTTTAAATATTTCATACCAATCCTTTTGGTATGAAAAGTTTCTGTTAAGAAATCAGCTGACAGTCTTATGGGAGCTCCCTTGTAACTACTGCTTTTCTCTTGTTGCTTTTAAGATTCTCTTTGGCATTTTAATTATGATCTGTCTTGGTGTGGACCTCTTTGGATTCATCTTGATTGGGACTCCCTGCTCTTCCTGTATTTGTATGTCTATTTCCTACACAAGGTTAGAGAAGTTTTCAGTCATTATATCTTCAAATAGGTTTTCAATTTCTTGCTCTCTCTCTTCTCCTTCTGGTACTCCTATAATGCAAATGTTGGTATGCTTGACATTGACCAATAGGCCCCTTAAACTACCCTCATTTGGGGGGATTCTTTTTGCTGTTCTGATTGGGTGTTTTCTGCTACCTTATCTTCTAAATTCCCAATTCAATCCTCTGTTTCGTTTAATTTACTTTTGATTCCCTCTAATATAGTCTTCATTTCAGTCACTGTATTCTTCATTTAACTAGTTCCTTTTTACGTTTTCTATCTTCATTTTTATGTTTCCTATCTCTTTGTTGAAGCTCTCACTGAGATCACTGAGTATTATTATAACCAGTGTTTTGAATTCTGCACTTGGTAGATTGCTTGTCTCCATTTCGTTTAGTTCTTTTTTTCTGGAGCTTTGTTCTGATCTTTCATTTGGGACATGCTTCTCTCTTCATTTTGCTTGCCACTCTATGTTTCTTTGTAATAGGTTAAGCTACTATGTCTCTTGGTCTTGGTAGAGTGAACTTATATAGTAGGTGTACTGTGAGGCCCAGTGGCGCAGTCTCTCTGGTCATTGGAGCAAATGTTCCAAATGTGTCCTTTCTGTGGGTTGTGTGTGCCCTTCTGAATAGTTGAGCCTTGATTGCTGTTGACACATCAATGGGGGAGATTGGCCCTCAGGCTGACTGGTTGTGAGGACTGGCTGGTAACTACAGTAGAGATGCTGTTGTTGTGGGGGCTGACCCTACGAAGCAGGTATTGCTTTACCAGGGCTCTAGTAACTGCCAAATCTAACCTTTGGGTGTGCTGTAAATAGAGGTAGTCAAGTGGTGCTCTGGAGTGGTCTGAAGCTGGCCACCAGATGTGTTTCTTCTGAAACCTCTTGGGAGGGGCTCTGTTGCAGGCCAAGGTCAGCCGCTGAGAACTGAGGCTAGCTGCTGTTAGTGCTGAGCTTGGGGGTTGTTTAGCAAGAGGTATAGGACATGCTGAGGCCAGGTGATGTTTGTTTGGGGTTTGTGAAGTTTGAAGAATCTTAGGAAAATCTGTAGCATGAGCCAAGCAAGACAAGCCATTTGTATTGAAATACCAGTAGAAGTGTTTTGGGTGGGCCTGCAAGTTTTGTGGGGTTAGGGTCTCAGGGAATCACCAGAACAGGGCAAATGGTATTAGCTAGACTGATAGAGACTCAGATATGGCACCAACCTGCATTTGCAGGCAGGGTGGTAGGAAGGACCAACAAAGGAACAATGGCTTCTGCCATCACTTCCATCTGGAAGAAAGCTGCCTCTCCAGCCCTTGACCTGAAGTCAAACAACTCAGATCCTCTCCGCATGTCCCTGGTGCTTTTTGAGTTGCTGCCCTAGTGCTGGAGCTCAGAGTGACTGAGTGCATTAGGAAGTAAATCTGTAAGTGGTCCTTTAAGAGAAATGCCTGAAACTCCAGTAGCCCTCCATCTCACTCAGACACAATCTCCACTGGGTTTCACTCCCAGAATTTGTAGGGCATTCCCTCCCTGGCCCTAGAATCCTGGGCTGGAGAGCCTGGTGTGGGGCTAGGACCCTTTGCTCCTCAGGTGAAACCCCTGCAGCCAAGCTATCTTTCCCGATCTTTAACTGCCACATGTGGGTATGAAACCAGACCGTTCTACATTTCTACCGCTCCAAAAGTCTCCACATGGCTTCTTCTGTATATCCTTAGTTATAGGTCTTCTGTTCAGCTAGACTTCAGGTGATTATCAATGATGGTTGTTCTGCACTTTAGTTGTAATTTTGAGGTGGTTGTGGGAGGAGACGAGCACAACATTTATCTACTCTGCCAACTTGACCAGAATCTTGAGCCAATTTTTAGAAGAGAGAAAGAAAAACTGGAAAGAATTTCAATTAGTCTTTACAATACACTAGTGAAGTATATATCTTCATTATAGATGACGAAATTAAGGGTCAGATTGCTTTTAACTAAGATATCCAAGGTAACACAAAGGTTAAGTAAGAGAGCCTACACTTCATAATATTCCTTGGTGCCTCTCATTTTATCACGATCCTTTTCCTTAAACTTTAAACTGTGTTTCTATTAATGTTACCCCAAAATAGACTTGAATAACTCTCACCCATTTAAATTAAAATCAAACAATTCAACTGCAAGAAAGCTAGAAAAACCACAAATATGTAGAAATTAAACAACATGCTACTGAAAAACTATTGGGTCAAAGAAGGAATAAAAGAAGATATCAAAAGATACATAGTGGCAAATGAAAATGACAATAGGACATACCAAAAATTTTGGGATGCAGCAAAAACAGTAAAAAGAGGGAAATTTATAGCATTACAGCTATTTATAGCACTACCTCAAGAAACAAGAAAAATCTCAAGTAAACAGTCTAATATCACACTTAAAGAACTAGAAATATAAGGACAAATAAAGACCAAAGTCAGTAGAGGGAGAAAATAAAAATTAGAGCATAAATAAATAAAATATAGAACAAAAAGACAGTAGAAAAAACTTAATGAAACAAAAAGCTGGTTCTTTGAAAAGATTCATAAAATTCACAAACCTCTGACTAGACCTAACTAAGAGAAAAAAACTAAAATAAATAAAATCAGAAATGAAACAGGAGAAATTACAATGGACATCAAAGAAATACAAAGGATTATACAAGAATACTATGAAAGGCTATCCACCACCAAATTTGATAACCTAGAACAAATGGACAAGTTCTTAGAAATATATAATCTTCCTAGGCTGACTCATGAACACTGGAAAATCTAAATAAACTGTTCAACAATAAGTCATCAAAAACCTCCCTAAAAGTACAAGTCCAGGACCAGATGGCTTCACTAGAGATTTCTACCAAATATTCAAAGATGATTTAATGCCTAACCTTATCAAACTCTTTCAAAAAATTGAAGAAGAGACAATATTTCCTAATTCATTTTACAAGGGCAACAATACCCTGATACCAAAACCTGGCAAAGAAACACACATACAAAATTACAGACCAGTATCTCTGATGAATATAGATGCAAAAATCCTAAACAAAATACTAGCAAGTTGAATACAATACATTAAAAGGATAGATAATACATAATGAACGAGGAGAGTTCATTCCAAGGATGGTTCAACATACACAAAATAAAAATCTTATGATCATTTCAGTAGATGCAGAAAAAGCATTTGACAAAATCCAGCATCCATTTATGATAAAAACTCTCAATAGAATAGGTATAGAAAGTACCTCAACGTAATAAAGGTCATATATGACAAACCCTCAGCTAATATCATACTCCATAGTGAAAAACTGAAAGTTTTTACTCTAAGATCAGGAACAAGACAAGCAGGCCCTTTCGTACTGTTATTCAACATAGTACTGGAAGTCCTAGCCAGAGCAATCAGGCAAGAGAAAGAAATAAAAGGCACCCGAATTGGGAATGAATAAGTAAAACCGTCACTATTTGCAGATAAAATGATTCTACATAGAGAAAACCCCAAAGATCCTACCAAAAGACCATTAGAAATGATATACAAATACAATAAAGTTGCAAATTATAAAATCAACATACAAAAATCTGTTGCATTCCTATATATTAACAATGAAATAGAAAAAGTAATGAAAAAAATTCAGTTATAATTGCAACAAAAAGATAAAATACCTAGGAATAAACTTACCAAAGGAAGTGAAGGACCTATACACTGAAAACTACAAGACATGGTTGAAAGAAATTGAAGTAGACTCAAAGAAATGGAAAGGTATTCCATGTTCACAGATTGGAAGAATTAATATTGTTAAAATGCTCACAGATTAGAAGAATTAATATTGTTAAAACAGAACAAAACTCCTCATTTTTTTTTGGAATTTTTAAAAAATTAATTTCAAGTATACAATACATTGGTTAGGCATCTATATAGTTCATCAAAATGATCCCCCCAATTGCTCCCTCCCTCTCCTGGCCCTCCACCTAAACAATATATTAATGCTAAGTGTATTCCCTATACCGTGCTCCCCATCCCCATGATCATCTATCAGCTACTAATTTGTACTTCTTTAACCCTTCACCCCATTCTCCCATTCCCTAACCCCACCTTGTCTGTCACCAAATTGTCCACTATATTTGTGAGTCTGTTTTTAATCCTTAGATTCTGCATATAAGTGAAATCATATAGTAAAATCTCTCAATTTTAATGGAATCACAAAAGACCCCAAAAAGCCAAAGCAATCACGAGAAAAAAGAACAAAGCTGGAGGTATCACATTCCCTGACTTCAAACTATATTACAAAGAAACAATAATCAAAACAGTATGGTATTGGCAGAAAAAAACAGACACATAGGCCAAGGGAACAGAATTGAGAGCCCACAAATAAACTCACACATATATGTGCAACAAAGAAGCCAAAAACATACAATGGAGAAAGAAAAGCCTCTTCAATAAATAGTGCTGGGAAAACTGGAAAGCCACATGCAAAAAAATGAAACTACACTGCTATCTGACACTGTATATAAAAATTCACTCAAAATGAATTATAGACTTGATTATAAGACCTGAAACAATAAAACACATAGAAGAAAATATAGGCACTAAACTTATGGATCTTGATCTCAGAGGGGTTTTTGTGAACTTGACCCCAAAGGCAAGGGAAGTAAAAGCAAAAATTAATGAATGGGATTACATAAAACTAAAAAGTTTCTGCATAGCAAAAGAAATCATCGACAAAACAGAAAGGCAATCAACCGAATGGGAGAAGATATCTGGAAACGATGCCTCTGATAAGAAGTTAATATCAAAAAATATATAAAGAATTCACACAACTCAACAGCAAAAAACAAACAGTCCAATTAAAAAATGGGCAGAGACTCTGAATAGTCACTTTTTCAAGGAAGACAAACAGATGATCAGCAGACATATGAAAAGATGTTTAATATCTTTTGTTATTTGGGAACTTAAATCAAAACACAATGAGATACCACCTCACACCTGTTAGAATGGCTGTATTATCAATAAGACATAACACCTGTTGGAGAGGATGCAGAGAAAAGGGAAATCTGGTACACTGTTGGTTGGAAACAGTAAATAGGTTCCTCAAAAAATTAAGAATAGAGCTATCATATGTCCCAGTGATTCCTCTTCTGGATATGTACCAAAAAAAATTGAAAACGGTTATTTGTGATGATATATGTACCCCTATGTTCATTGCAGTATTATTCAAAATAGTCACTATGTGGAAACAACCTAAGTGTCCTCTGACTAGTAATCAGATAAGATGATGTGGTACATATATACAACAGAATACTACTCAGCCATATGAAAAAAATGTAATATTGCCATTTGCAACAACACAAGTGGATCCTGAGAGTATCGTGCTAAGTAAAATGATTTAGACACAAAAGCAAAAGAACAAGAATATGATCTCAAGTATATGTGGGATATAAAACAAACAGTAACAAAAGAACAAACAAAACAAACTCATAGATACAGACAACAGAATGGTGGTTATCAGACGGAAGGGGAGTTGGAGGGAGGATGAAGAGAATAAAGGGGGTCAAATACATGGTTACGGAAGGAGACTAGATGTAGGGTGGTGAGCACACAATTGAGTATACAGATGTTGCACTGTAAAGTACACCTGAAACTTATACAATGTTATAAATCAATGTTACACCAACAAATTTAATAAAAATAAAATAAAAAATACATTTAAAAAATAAAATTAGAAAAGAGAAAAAAAGAACACACAATCCGATCCTCTTCCTCTAAACCTCCTAACCTCAAATTACCTTTTCTCCCTTCGTAGTCAAACTTCTTAAGGGTCAGCTCAATTTCTTGCCTCCATTATTACACCAACCATTCATACCTCAAACTACCACAATTTAGCATGAGGACCCACAACTCCACTAAAATAAATGATGAAGACTTAACATGTCACTAAATTCAAAGAACGTTTTTATTCCTCAAGTTATTTAACCATTAAAAATGCAGATCTGATCATGCCACTTCTCTGATTTCAATGGTTTCACATTGTTTTAGGGATGAAGACCAAGATACCAAGATCCTTAACATGTCCTGAAAGTTGCTTACAAACTTCCTGCACACTGTGGCCCTTGCTCTTCCCTCTCACTCTAATCTTACACAGTTACTGAAGTTTAGAAATATTTGCATTCTTTTAGTTTTTTGAATGAGTAAAAACGTTCTTTGTTGCATGTGCTATTTCTTCTTCCTGACTACCCATCATTCTTCCTCTATCTTTTCCCAGTTAACTATTATTCATTCTTCAAGTCTCATCTTAAATATCACTTCCTCAAGAAAGCCTTTCTAATTATAGAAACATGAACTTCTCCTTCCCAACACTTGTCACAGTTTAATTAAGTAATTAATAGTGTAATCAGTTAATTATCTCCCACACGAAAGGGCCCACGAAGGTAGAAAACATGTCTGTCTTCTTCACTGTTATATCCCTAGTAGCAAGTACAATCTCTGGCACATAACAGGAACTCAAATAGTAAACAATAAACAAGTAATGAAAAGTCACTGGCCACATGGACATATTCACAAAGTATAATTATTATCTGGAAATGCAAACCTTATTGTTAAGCCTCCAGGAAATTCTTCATCAAATAATACTTCAAATAGTACATCAGCTTCTCTATTAGCTGTTAAAAAAAAAAGATTTTAAAAATTGTACGATGAAAAATCAACATTTGAGTTTTTGTAATGTAAGAAGCATTACAACTATCAAAAAATGGTGTGGAGAAATACAGACAGTAAATGAAAAGTAAATAAGCTCACTGATTACCTTACTAGTATTAATTTAAAGTAAAATAATATTTTAAGTCAGATGCTGTGGGGGATTAATTATACTTTTCTCTCTGATTTTGTATGTATTTGAAATTATTCATAACGAGAGTTAATAAAAGATAACTTTAGAGTTTGCAGTTTAGAAGTCTTCCAATAAGACAGATAAAAGACAATGAAGATTTGAAAACATAGCAGCAATGAGGGGAATAGAATAGAAAAAATGGATATACTATTAGATAGAATTGGCAGGAGTTTGTGACCTAAGTAGATTAAAAAGGATAGAGATGCCAAAGATGATTTCAAGGTTCTGGCTGAGATTACTTGGTAGATTATTGATGTCATAACTGAGACATGAGACTCATGAGAAAAACAGTGGTGCAATAAATTTGGATAAGAGCAGAGAAGAATAAATTTGGCAGAGAGCATGATGAGATATATCTGACAAGATTAAATTTACCTACAAGGCCAAGGTAAAATAAATAATTAGCTATAATGTTTTGAATTCTAAGCTCAAACTAATAGAGTCTATCTATACAACTTCAGAATTGTCTCTCTCCTTCTCTCTCCCCTCCCCCCAACTGCCACCTTTCCATTATATTGATTCTGTTTCTCAGGAGAACCCTGACTAATACAATTTCTGAAATATGCCAGCTCCTGTTTGAGATGTCTCCCCATCCCCAGTCCCTTATTGCTCAGTTGAACCCAGGCATGCAGAATTCACCCATTCTCCACCATCCCACTGTACCTTTCAACCTGACACTTAAAATCTAAACCCAAGAAAGTAAGGTTCAATGAGAGACATGACTTTCTCTTCTGAAGGATTAATAAGGCCCACCTTCTAGGTTCCCACTTCCTGTTTATGGATGGGTCCACTTCCTCAAAAGATTATTGATATTTGGTCACCCCTTTAGTGGAGATGACTATGAACATGAGGTCTTAGTTGAAGGCAGTAATGACAAATATTCCTCTTTCTATTTGCAGCTTTAAAAACATGAAAAAATTCTACGCGGTCACTATTACTGATAGAAGTTGTCAGAAGAAAGGAAATTTCTGTTATCAGAGTCCTAAGGCCTTATTAGGACAACGTAACTAGAGTACAATCCAATAAGCTCAATATCTGAACAGATGATGCAGGGGTTGAACATATAGCAGCAGGAGGGTTGCTTCATCACATCCATCTAACTCATACCACACCTAGCCCGGACCCTCCTTTCTCCATTTCCAGCAACCAGAAATATATCCAATAAAAAAAAAAAAAAAATCAGAGAAGAAAATTCTTTTAGAGTCAAGTAAGCAGGGACAACCCCAAGAGGCTGTGCAGATGGAAAATGTAGAGAAACACTGCTCAAAGTTAGGTAAGAATCAAGAGTTTAAGTCCCAGCTCTGCAGGTGAATCACTTCAACTCTCAGATGAGGAAATAACACCTATTTCTCAGATGGTTGTGAGGGTTAAATGAAAAATGTTAAAGTGCCTGGCTCACTGCTGGCACTAAACACGCAGTTCTCTTAGGCTCATGGCTTGCCTGCTCTTCCTTCTTTCTAGACAGTGAGATCAAGGTCGAGTGCCTGGGACATGGTGGGACAGTCCTACCAGCACCCTGATCCTTGGGCACCTGATTTAAGGCTTTATGCTGAGTTGACATTTTTTGGAATCTATGTCACAAAGCTGCTCACTCCAGGTACCCCTCTGAGGCATATTTAGATCCTTAGCTGTTTTTCTCTCCATGCTCTCATTTTTTTTTTTTTTGAAGATGACTTAAAATTTACCATCGTAATCATTTTTAAGTGTATAGTACAGTACTCTTAACTATATGCATATTGTTGTGCAACAGATGAATAGGTCTGTTTTATATACATAATCTAGCTGTATTCATAAAATTCAAATTTATATGCACATTTAATTCAAATCTGTTAACTGTAAATAAGCTCATACTTTATGTTTGTTTATTTTTCCACAGAAAGCAAGAGATTACATTGACAATTAGGGTAAAGCTCTGAGCAAGGTTAGATGAAAGCCTAACTAAGAAGAAGTGATGAAACTTTTCCCTCAGTTTCAACAAAATGTCTGTACACCTGCCAAGGTCCTGTATGATATTAACATGTTATATATAAACTACTAAATCCTTAGCAGCCCTGATTCAACTTCCTCTTTTTAAAATCATGTTCTAGATGATTATACAAGACAGAAAAGGAGAATTTTCTCTAGAAACTGAAAAAAAAAAATAAGTAAAACATAAAAGGATTGTTTTTTTTTTCTGACTTATACTTATTCTCTACTTAGATATGACACAGAAATCTGTGTTCTACTTTACAGTATTGATGTAGTTGAAGACATGTCAAGTACTGAGATATTACCCCCTTTAATTCCTATGATGGTGCCCCGAAGGCCAACTGGAACTGAAAAGTTCTCTCTCACGTTTACAACACGATCAAATAGACGAAATTCTGCATCCCGATCAGGAATGACTCCATGCTGCTGTTCTAAAGGCTAAAGAAAAAAAACTTTAATTATTATTATTAACTCTAATTTTTAAAAGTTTTTAAGTAATATATTGAAAACAATTTGTTTCTTCTATATTTTCAAAGTAAAAACAAGTCTGAATTCCTTAAGAGGAAACTTACTCTGTACAGCAAATGGGGCTTCACTGTCACTCGCACCTTCTTATTATTCTTTCTTTGCTGAGAAAAGAAAAATTTTAAAAAATATTTTTAAAATATGAAGTTATAAATTTATTCAGTACTCGTACATGTCTGAATTTTAAAAAGGCAAATCAAATGAGTAATTTTAAGAATATCTGAAGTTCTTCAGATGCAGCAAGGAGGAATAATAAATAATTAAAGTATTTTAAAGTAAAAATTTTTAGGTATAAGACATAGAAAAATGTAAAATTGTAAGTATACGGCCTGATGAATTTTTATAGTATGAATATATCTATGTATAATCATACCTAGTTCAAGAGAGACAGAATATTATTAAGCACAACATAAGAACCCCTGTATGGTGATGTCAGAAGCATGGTGGCCTGAAAGATGTCCCCAGATTTCTCCCCTTGAAATAAGAATAAGCTGAATATCTAAAACTCAACAAATAACATCTAACCTACACACAAGCACGTCGGAGAGAGTGATCTGAGCATAACAGCTTCTAGGACTCAGAACTGCCTAAGTCTGGGGGATAGATTGAGAGGACCAAAGAAGTGGCCTCTCACAACTGGAACTCACTGCAAGAGGAGGGGGAGAAGAAATTGCAGCAGGATCCCAAATAACCCTGCCTGAGGAACCTGTGAGATCCACACAGCGGAGCCCAGGGATCAGAGTAGAAAGTGAACTGGGAACTAACTACAAAGGGGCAACTGCAATCAGGCAAGAGAAATAAATAAAATACATCCAAATAGGAAACGAAGAAGTCAAACTGTCGCTATTTGCGGATGACATGATTCTCTATATAGAAAATTCTAAAAACTCCACAAGAACACTACTAGAAATAATAAGTAAATACAGTACAGTTTATGGGTATGATATCAACATTCAAAAATCCATAGTGTTCCTATATTCTAATAATGAAGTGTCAGAAAAAGAGATGGAAAAAATAATTCCTTTTTGCAATTGCAACAAAAAGAATAAAATACCTAGGAATAAATTTAATGAAACGTGTGAAGGACCTACATAATGAAAACTACAAGACCCTATTAAAAAAAATCAAAGAAGATAAAAAGAAATGGAAAGATAATTGAATGGGAAAATATATTTGCAAGCAATGCCTCAGATAAGGAACTAATATCCAAAATATACAAAGAACTCATATAACTCATTAATAAGAAAACCATCGATCCAATCAAAAAAATGGGCATAGGATCTGAGCAGACATTTTTCCCTAGAGGACATACAAATGGCCAACAAATATATGAAAAGATGCTCAACATCACTAGCTA